CACACACACATCAGTCACTGAAACTGCACACACTGTCCATCTGCACACAACACACACATCAGTCACTGAAACTGCAACACTGTCATCTGCACACACACACATCAGTCACTGAGACTACACACACTGTCCATCTGCACACACACACACATCAGTCACTGAGACTACACACACTGTCCATCTTCGCAGACACACACCACTGCGGCATGCACAGTTGTGTGTGTGTTAATAAATCCCATTCATCACTGCCATAAAATAAAACCTTTATTTATATTATATAATAATAATATATAAGTATATTATAATAATACAGTCACAGCAAGAATGAAGAAAAATTGTCGCTCATCTCACCTCTCACTCGGAGGAACGGCGCTGAGCTGATGACGTCATTTCGGTTTTTCACAATAAAAGTCTTTTGTTTTTACGGGGTTCAATCTGAAATTAATGCAGCTAATAACCACCAACTCTATACATGCAGAATTGTAAAATATTGCAAAGCTTTTGTTTTAAATGCAATTAAATACAATACAATTCAATTACAATATTATTTACTGTTCATTATAAAAACAATACGATGTGGTTCACCTTATACTACATCCTATAATGAGTTGGGTTATCTTTTTTATTTATATATTGCATCCAGGGTTATTGGCAAGCAAATAAAATAAGTGTAAGCTGAAGCACTGAAATGACTGGAAATAACAGGAAATCAATTAAAACTAAAACTGAAATCAACCCAAATAGTAACAAATAGTAAAATGACAAAAGCACAAATTACACTGAAAAGGTTGAAATATTATAAAGGTAATTTAAAATATCAATACAACTAAAGTGGTAGAAATAATACAATTTGTACTGTGTTATTATGCCTTTATTAATGCCATATTTTATTATGTGCCAAAATTAAATGTTTACTTTTTTGTCCCTTTTCTTTCTTTTATGTTTGCGCAACTGTTGATTGGTGTTTCAGTCCGGAGTGAAAACAGAGTGACACCAAGCGCGTGCGTGTCTGTTGCGACCGCGACGCTTGATTTAAAAAACTCGCGTGTTCCCGTGAGCAACGAGGAGTGTCCTTACCGGAGCGGAGACTCGTTTACCGGGATTAATTCAAGAGAACCGGAGCAGAGACTCGTTTACCGGGATCAAGAGAACCGGACCGGTTGCCGAAGGTGCCGAACCCAGTCCCGCTGATCATTAATAATCATCATCATCATCAACTTCCACAGATAATCACAGTTCTGCTTTATTAAGGTACAGGATCACAGTTACAAGAAGTTATTCTCTTTGTATATGCAAGACTTCCGGTTTATGATCCGCTATAAGGAAATTACTTGAACAGAAGTGTTTTTAAATTATAGTAGTTGAAAAAAATACCACTTGATAGAGTGGCGCTGATATGACGTCACTTTGTAGTCCAACCAACAGTTCTTATCACGCTGGATTTTCCCGTTGCCTAGGCTTAGATTATCGCTAAAATCCACCTCTGTGATCAACAAAGTTTATGATATTTGCACATTTTGTCCATCAAGATAATTATCACCGACGAACACAACTTTTATGAATTTTGAAGCCTAGATAGTGTCGGCAGAAGTAAAAATCTAAAGGTAGACTATAAACGTACTACACCACGGTCGCATAAATTTAACGTCAACCATCACTGATTTTCCGACAACTCAGTTTTTATCTAAACACATTTTTTCCCCAAGCTTTGAGTCATTATAGTGTATAGAGCACGATTATTAACGAGGCTGTAAAGACCGAGTTTAGCTGACGTTAAATCTCCGCGACAGCCTCTGTAGTCCCATTTAGCCTCTTGTTGGCATTTTTCAAGACGCATAACGGCTTCAAAAAATCACGAGTGGGTAAATACTGATGTCATAGATTAAAACATGAAGTGTCTTGAGCTTGTGTTCATCACCATTTCACCAAAACCCCTTTTAAAAACCCGTTCACCAAAATTACAAATTGAAGCTGTTTTTCCTTGAAGGAAAATCTTCATGTCTTAAAATATCTTGGTTGTCGATCACACGTTGATCTGATTGGTTACACACCTTGTTTGTGATGTTAGAAACACCAACGATTTGGTTCACTGGTCTTTGGTTCACTGCAGTTTTAACTTTAAGCTGCATAACTGCCTGTTTTTGTACAGGGATAATAACTGTAAGGATCAGCTGTTCTCCTCTTCTTCCTCAGGATCAGCTGTTCTTCCTCAGGATCAGCTGTTCTCCTCCTCTTCCTCAGGATCAGCTGTTCTTCCTCAGGATGGTGTTCTTCACGTGCGACGCCTGCGGAGAGTCTCTAAAGAAAGCTCAGGTGGAGAAGCACCTGCTGAAGTGCCGCGGCTGTCGAGTTCTGTCCTGCATCGACTGCGGGAACGACTTCCGGTGGGTCGAGAGAGAGAGAGAGAGAGTGTGTGTGTGATTGTGAGAGAGTGTGTGCTGAACGTGACCGTGTGTGTGTGTGTCTGTAGAGGTGACGATTACAAGAACCACAACAAGTGCATCAGTGAGGATCAGAAGTATGGAGGCAAAGACTTCCAGGCGAAGGCGAACAAAGGCGACGTGAAGCAGCAGCAGTGGATTCAGGTGAGTGTGTGTGTGTGTGAGAGAGGAGTGTGTGTGTGTGAGAGAGGAGTGTGTGTGTGTGTGTGTGTGTGAGGGATTCTGGGAAGGCTCACGGGTCTGCTTGTCCTCAGAGGATCCAGGAGGCGTCGGATCGGCCCGGTGTTCAGCCCAGACTCCAGCAGGTCCTGCGGCAGGTCGCCGCCTACGGGAACGTTCCCCGGAAGAGAGCCAAGTTCCAGGTGAGGAAGAGTGTGTGAGGAAGAGTGTGTGTGAGGAAGAGTGTGTGTGTGTGTGTGTGTGTGTGAGGAAGAGTGTGTGTGAGAGGATCTCCGTGAGGAAGAGTGCGTGTGTGTGAGGAAGACTGTGTGTGTGTGTGTGTGAGGAAGAGTGTGTGTGTGTGTGTGTGTGTGTGAGGAAGAGTGTGTGTGCCTGACCCGTAACGCTTGCTCTGATCCTCTGCAGAACTGGATGAAGAACAGCCTGAAGATCCACAGTCCCGAGTTACTGGAGCAGGTGTGGGAGATCTTCTCTGCGGCCGACAGCGTAAGTGTGAGCGTGTGTGTGTGTGTGCGTGTGTGTGCGCATGTGTGTGTTTATGGTGATGTTTTGCTTTGTGTCATCGTGATGTTTCAGGACTGCAACCAAACGACAGAAGAACACAAACCGAACCGAAGCGAGCCGACCAACGGCACTGAGACTAATGAAGGAAAGAGGGAAGAGCGGAAGGATAAAAAGAGAGAGAGCGAGAGAGAGACATCAGAGCAGCAGAACGGAAAGAAACAGAGCAGGAAGAAGAGGAAACGAGAGGAAAGAGGACAGGACACGGAGGAGAAGACCAAGAAAAGGAGAGAAGAGCCGTCTGATGGTAAGTGTCGGAGTCTGACGTCTCCAGCCGTGTCTGTGAACCGAACTTACTTCCTGTTTGCTTTCACCAATCAGAGAGCCAGGATCTGGAGGGGGAGGAGCCAGAGAACCAGCAGTCCGAATCAAACTCTACAGGTATTTCATAATAAGAGTCTGAACAGCAGGGAAGCTTGCGTCCGCCACAGAATAAAACATTTTAAGAGATAATTACCACTTTTCATCTCAATTCAGAGTTTCCGAGCAATTTTGAGGTTTTAACACGCAATTCTGACTTTATATCCGACGATTTTGAGAAATAAAGTCAGAATTGCGAGATGTAAACACAAAGAGGAAGAATTGCTAGTTTTTTCTCGCAATTGAGATAAAAAGTCGCAATTACCTTTATTTTTTATTTAACTCTGCTTCGCTGGAGCGGCGTGAAGATCTCCTGAGTTGTGTTCGCAGGGAAGTTTAACTGGAAAGGGACGATCAAGGCGGTTCTGCGCGACGCTCCTGAGGACGGCCTCGCCGTGAAGAAGCTCCGCAAGAAGGTGAGCGGCGCGTCGGCCAATCAGCAGCAGCGCAGACACGTGACCGCGCAAACGCTCCTGGCCTTCACTAGTTGTTTTACACATTTGGGGCTTTCGCACGGGTGCTTCTGGGAGCGCGGGTCGTTCTCCTGGTTGCGTTCGCAGCGCTACGAACTCTGTAGCGGCGTCAGACTCGCTCGTTGTTGAGACTTTTATTTTAGCGGCGCTGAGCTCACAGCGCTCGCATTCTCCCGTTCATTAATCGATCTGTCATCAGTGCTGTCGAACACGTCATTAGCAAGAGCTGTTATATATGAAAGTAGACTTTAATAAAGTCGTTAGCGTATGGCATGTGTCGCTGAGCTGAAACGCATCATCATGTTCCTCTCGGTCTCAAAGCTGCGTTGGGTTTCTCCTTCGCGTAAGGCCGTATGTCCACCAAAGCGTTTTTATCCCGCTGAAAACGCCAGGCGCTCTGCTGACGACACTCTGCTGTTTTTTCGTTGAGACGTTTCGTTGCTATGATACAGAACATCCGCAACAGTTTGAATGTTGGCAGTTGGAATGTGACAGTTGGTCGGTGTGGTATTAGTCCCGCCCCTCCTCCACTGTGATTAGCCGGCTGGGTAAAAAGTTACAGTGATGAGCGCTGCGTTTTATCCGTTGGAACATTTTTCAATTCTCGGCGACCAGTAAAAACGCTGGGCACTCGGCGCTTCAGCGCGGAAAATGCTCAGCGCCTCGGTACGCTCATGGCGTTTAAAAACCGCGGCGCTCCCATTGAAAACAATTGAAAACATACGCTAGGCGCATGGAGAAACGCTTTGGTGGACACACGGCCTAAAGGTTAAGAGCTTCATCTATTCGCAGAGCTAGTTTCTGGAGTAAATATATCGGCTGTAATCTGTGTTCACACTGATCAATAATGGCGGGCGCTGGTGTTTCTCGTGCGTTCGGCCAATCAGAGAACACCCCCGTCTCTGTAGTTCCTCTAGAGCGACTCTGGCGGAGTAAAGGAGATCGCCGGACTCCGGGAGCTTCCCGACAGCGAAAGCCCACTTTATGTTTACTTCGACACACGTTTGACATCGACTCACCCGTCGACCTTTTCCAGGTTTTAGCTGCTTATTATTCGTTTACTGGAGATGGAAACTACAGATCGGAAGAGGAGCTTCTGTCTCTGTTCAACAAGAAGATCAACAACAACCCCAAGTTTAAGACGCTGAAGGAGAAGGTGCGGCTGGTGAAGTGACGGGGTCATCATCATCTCCTGCTGGACGTCCGGCTCCGAAATATGATTAATGCCTTAAAACAGTCACATCAAGAACAATTTCTCTATATGGCTCATTAATAAAACATACTATGTACAAGCAGGCAAAGCAAATGCGTAGTTTTACGCTGTTTAAAACCGTATAAAGTGTTTAATGTAACTGGGCGCTCTACTTGTGTATAGAGAATTAGGTGTATACTGAGTTTGGTGTTTTAATAAAACTGTCTTAATTCATCAAGCCACCAGTTTTATAATGTGTGTGTGTGTGTGTGTGTGTGTGTATATATAATGCATCTTCATGTTAGTGTAGGGTTTGGGTTAGTGTGTGATGGGTCGGGTTAGAGTGTCCCATCCTCTCTCACACACTGGCGTACTGGAGAAGGCGTAGAGTAGGCCGTATGCGCTGCCGGTGTTCAGCTCTCAGCGCAGCGACACACACGCGAGTGTTAGCCCGTTAGCGAGGAGAGATGATGTGTGTGAGGCTCGGGTGTAAGGGTTGAATCGGACTCTTGTGTGGGACATTCCTCCTCTCGCGGGGCAGGGTCAGTTGGCCCGCGCACACAGAGCCTCCATACAGGAGCGAGCGCCGCGCGGCCCCGCGGGTCAGGGCTCCAGAATGGGCTGCCTGTTACACACACACACACACACACACGGCGGAGCGCTGAGTCCGGAGGCTGATAATCCCCGTGTGCGGCACTGATCCCGCGCTTAGCTGTAATGATATCGGCGGGACGGGGCTTTAGCGCGGCCTAGCTCGCGTTAGCTGGACTTAAACTGCTGGTTTATACCTGTAATGTTGTCATGTAGGCAGCGCTGGAGAAACAACTGAGAAATTTAAGATTCTGTGTCCATTTAAAACTCTGCCTACCCAAAAAAAGCACCGGAGTGAACGTTAAAAAATATCCACGTTTAATTCTTCTTCGAATGTGTAGAGTTAAACCCTGTTCTGAACGGGTTTCATTGAGGCTGTAGAGTTTCTCACTGTTGTGTTTTAGATGAGAAAACTTTGTAAAGAAACCTTATGTTATTGTTCTGACTCCATGACAGATGCTGAAGAAAACCAATAGTTACCGGAATATTTTCAGTTAAAATTAGGTGCAGATGATTTTATATATGAATATTTTACTTTATTTCAAGACTAATCATGAGCTGTTTACACTCGACTGCATTCGTCCAGCCATTGATTGTTATAGAACCGCATTGTAATCTGTGTCTGAAAGGGTTAATTCACCCAGAAATCATTTACTCCCCTTCATCTTTCGCAGAAAAACATTCGGTTACACTTAATTTTACAGTGTCCTTGTTACATATGTTACCGTAGTAATAACAGTAAATTATGCATAATTACATGCAACTAATGCTTAACCTAACCCTACAGTAACCCTATAGTAAGTGCATGCAGTCACTCCGTAATCAAATATATAATTACACTAACAATTACACCTTAAAATAAAGTGTAACCCTTTATTTAATGGTGTCCTTGTTACATTTAAGTAATATTTATTTACAATATAGGGTCATGGTTGAGTTTAATTATGTGTAATGTACTGTTATTATACAGTAGCGCGCAACAATATTTTTAGTTTTAAGTAAATGAGAAACAGTCAAGACATTGAGACCTTTTTGCAATCCCGTTCAACTGATTAGATCAAGAGAGCACAGGTACGCCTGCTGAAGATCTGCCAATCTGGAAAGCTATATTATTATTATAATTATTTATTTATATGTTATTCTGGAAAGAAACATCTGAGGATATGGCAGTTTTACTTACAGATCATAAAGACATCTTCTAAATGTCTATATATGACATCTAACAGGAAACGTCCTGGAGATGTATTGAGATGAACAAACTCTAGAAAATACTTCTTCCAGATGTAAATAGACGTCTCTAAAATGTGTGTGTGCTAATAGAGTGATTCATTTATGAATCCGTCACTGCTAGTTTTGGTCCTACACAAACGTCTGCAAGACGTCTATTAAAGAGCGCTTCATCTGGAAAGCATCGGATGTGTACAAACATCTGAGAAACGTCTTTAAGATGTCATTTTACATGTGTTAAATCATAAACATCTTAAATACATTTTCTAAATGTCTCTTTATCGTCTTACAGGCGTATTACAGATTAGCAAACACTCAAAGTCATCTTCCCGATGTAAACGCGCACGTCAAATAGACGTCTCTGAGATGTACGTGTGCTATTGGAAAAGTTATTTTTAACTCGCAGTAAAACGCTGTTCCTTCAGGACACGAGTAGCAGACGATAAATACACACAATATAATCAGGAGCAGAGAGTTAAAGCATTACTGACAGGAGCTGCAGTGGGATATTAATGACTCATATTGCTGAAACACTACTCTCCGATCAGTACAGAATCATCAAAATAGATCATCTATGAGTGTTTATACAACTTCTGTGGAACGCTAAAGGAGATATTTTGAGAAATGGATGTTTTGTCTCATCCATACAATGAAAGTCAATGGGGTCCAATATTCTTCAAAACATCATCCTTTTTGAGAGTCCAACGGCAGGTTTGGACCGATGTAAGCAATGACAGATTAATTCAGTTTGAGCGTTTCTAACACACACAATGGTGGCTTTCGGTGTGTTTGGTGCGACGCGTCATCGCCGACATGCTGAAACACGATTGTGGGAAATGTTGAGACATGCTCCACTCGGCTCCGTCGCCGGAGTCAGCAAAAACCAGAGCCGTGTGCAGTATGTAAGGTATACGTCTCTGATAAAGCTTCCTCACAGAACGCTATTGTTCTCCTCATCGCTGCCCCAAAGGCCTCTGGGAAACAGGAGCAGAAAGCCTGGTTCACTGCAGCGGAGGGGAATGGAAGTATATGGTTTTATTGTCTGTTTGGGTGAGAATCAAATGCGCTCAGCGTTTTCTCAGAATATCGGGCCAGCACACACACACACACACACACACACACACTAGAGGAAGTTTGATGTTCAGATGTGCTGAATGACCGGCATTATGAAGCGTAAAGGTCTTTTGTCCGGTCGGCTCAGAACATGATACTCTCATAAAGCACAATCCGGGTTCTGTTGAGTTCTGCTGTGTGCTGAAGATAAGAGCCGGCCACAGGTAAGCCAATCGCCTCGCATCTTGATAACTGTTTAGTGTCTGGCTGATTAGTTTGATGTGATTTTTGAATATTGGAAGGCCTCACTGCATTCATATGTAGATCAGACACACATGCTGCTCAACAAGTGTGGGTTTATCAAGGATCCATGTGCTTGCATTAGTGTTTGGGATATCTGGATGGGTTTAAGGTTTTCCAGAGAGCAGACGGAGGTTTGATTGACGTCTGCACATCATCTCACTATTGTTTGTTTCTCTTAGACGTGATTGAGGTCGAGTGTTCTGGACGTCCATCATCGGTCTGAGGAGATCTGAAATCATCATCACTCTTCCGGATATTTCTGCCTTCCGAGAGGAGATTGGATCATTTAACTCCTGATTGGTAACGTTTACAGAACACCAGCACTGCAAATTAACTAATGGATATCACTATACTCTTCCAATTGATTAATTCCATTTTAGAAATGCAAAAATAAATTCTATTACAAGTTTTCTGGAATGTTATGCTTAAATATGCAAACGAGGCGAAATATGCATTAATTTGCATATATTTCCGGCACATTCATCTGAACATTGGATAAAGCCAGGCTCATAGTTGGTGTCTGAGTTTGTTGACTCATTAGAGTTGAAGGTTTTTATAGAAGGGATTTTTGATTTCTCTTTTTATCACTCCATAAATCCAAAAATACTGTCAACAGACAGAAAAAACACATTTTCACCATGTGTAGAGGAATAAAATGTTTTATAAATCAGTGTGAATGATATATGAACAAACCCCTCAGTGAAAACCTTCAGAATATAGATGTGAATGAAACTGTAAGTTCTGCTGAAGTGGAGAAACTCTTTTAAAGATATGCGTCCAAACTCAAATCTACAGACGCACGGAGATAAAGTGTGAAAAAATAAACACGTAAATGTCTATTTTGAATGTTTTATTAGTACTATTCTGAAACAACACACTGAAAAGCTAGAGTCCAAAATCTCAGAATTGGCCAGTGCATGAAATAAACAAGTCACGTCACTTTTATTTATATAGCGCTTTTTACAATACAGAGTGTTTCAAAGCAGCTTCACAGAGATAATAAGAAAATAGTGCAAAAAAGTTTGTTTCTAGAAGAAAAAGCGTCACAGTCCAGCTTAAGTCATTTCAGCAATAGTTCATTTCCGTTGTAAAAAAGTTAATTTTGTATATATATATCCAGAGTCCGCTCTGGAGAAAACCGTGATGTCATCATCCAGCTCAGTTCAGTTCTCATATAATGCTGTCAATGCAGGAGATCAATAATAGTGTTGGATATTAAATTAAATGGCAGCAATGCTTTTGCATGTAGTGTCTCTTTAAATGATGCGGCATTAATTGTACAGTATGCAGTTTCTTGTGTGTGTGTGTGTGTGTGTGTGTGGATCAGTTCTGCTCCAGATGGATTGGGCTCCAGCTGGCAGGAAACTCTAGTCCAGGTGTATTAGAGAGACCGGGGCTGTTGGCAGGAGACAGTATTCCACACCTGTGCTCACCTGTGCTGGTGTCTACACACCTGAACAACAGCTGACCTCCTGAACCCACACACACACACAGGTGCTGCTCACGCACCGGCTGAACTCACACACACACTCACATGCTGCATTCACTGTTTGTCCATCACTGGGAGTTTTACATCTTTCTCTTAATGATTATTGGCTTCTAGTGTGTTGTGTGTGGAAATATGAAAACATTAAAAAAGGGAAGTTGCGACAGATCTTTTCTTCCATATTGTGACGTATCTGAGTGTAACGAATTATCAAAACATAAATAAATGAAGGGCAGGACTGGGTTTAGTATATCATGATTTTGTATTAGTTTCAACTTTTTGTGTTAATTTCAGCCTTTTAATGTCATATTTAACTTAGAAACCGGTCAAAGACAGACACAGTCTGTCTGTCAAGGACCTGCGCCTGGACACACACACACACACACACTCCAGATCTGCACAGGACGACACCGGCACACGGCTACTCGGAAGCGATACATAATTCTGTATTATACATTTTTAAGGTCAGACAAGTAATTTGTTTAGGTCAATTGTAAAGAAAGACTACACGCCTGCACATATATATTCAAACGTCGGAATCGATTCGCGAGCGTCAGGCAGGCGACTCACTTGAATCCTGAATCTCGCGAGCGTCTCCAAATCTCTCGCCGCGTGAATGTGACGTCATCCGGGCATCATGGCGGAGTTCAGCGAATTTATGAAGTTGCGGAGGCGATTTAAGACTAACGAAGAGCCAGAGGAGGAAGAAAAGAGTGAGAAACACACACACTGACTTCCTGCGTCACTAGCTGAACGCGTGTTAAACTCTGCTCGAGTCTTTGCGTGTCGTATCAGCTGTGTTTGCTGCTGTCTGATGATGATGTTGTGTTATTGTTGTGCAGCTGCTGGTTCTGATGAGGCTGTGGAACTGAAACCGTCCGCTCGGATCAACCGGCACTCCGTCTTCTGGCTTCTGGCTTCTGTCGCTCTCACCTATTATGTGGATTTCTTCTCTGTAGTGCTGAACCACACTGACATTCACAGGTGACTAACCTTAACCCTAACTAACTAACTAACCAGCACTGTAAGCGGTTACTGACAGATCTACTTTGAACCTTAGTACACAAACAACTGAAACACTCTTTCTCTGTCGTATGGTTTTATCCTGGATTAGAGATTAAGTGCTCTGGTTACACTAGTGAGAGAACACTAACACTGGCATGCAGACACTCGCTCTCATACACACACAGACACACTTATTATTTTAAGTTTCAGTTTAAATATTATTGACTTTTTGTAACTATCTTGTTTTTTTGTCTTTGAACATTTGTGTTGAGCTGGAGTAATGCCTGTGTTTCAGCTGGTGGTTCTCCGTGGGTCTGGTGTTGCTGGGATTGTGCCTCAGTCTGGCTGCCTTCTGTATTGTGTATCTGGAGTGGTTCAGGGGCATCAGGCACTACGAGCAGGAGTATCCCGCCGTCCCTGCCGTGACCACTGCCGCCTTCCTCGCCGCGTCCTGCAGGTCAGAACCACAGTCATGTCGTGACGGGAAACACACTTTGTGAAGCTTTCAAACCTTTGCGAATCATTTGTTCCGAATCAGTGATTCAAACTGCCAAAGTCACGTGATTTTAATAAACGTATATAAATAAATCGTTTAGCTCTACAATGTGTCTCATTAATGGAAATGCAGCCTCTTTTTGCGCTCAACATCATTATTAGACAGTGTGCATCAAATTTGGTATTTTTTATAATCTTTAAGACAAACCGTGTGTAAGTTGATAAGTGGACAGCATTGCTGAGTGTTTTCTCCTTAAAACTGCAGTGAACCAAAAACACGGTTCTGACGACCTTGTAACCAATCAGGTCACTAGGGGGGCGGGGCTTTCGCATATCATTAACTATGCTCTGAAGCAGCGCAGTCTCAAGACAAGCAGGCTGTTCCGGGATATTTGTGTTGATATGATAAATCAAGTTCTTTTAACAAATTAGCAAAAGGCTAATCATATTAATTACCGTTATACCGTTATTATGCGATATCATTGTGTGCAGCGAAGTAAAGTTGAGTGAGTGGATCAGGTATTCTGGATTGCTGTGAGTGAGTGGAGGCGGGAATCACACCACATATACTAAATGAAGCAAAGGTTACATTCAAGATATTTTAAAGCATGACGATTTTTTTTTCACAAGACAAAAATATTAAAATATGTCGTTTTGGTGATCAGATGAGTTTTAAGGGATAAAATGATTGACTACAGGAGACTTTAAATACAGATTGCACAATGATCTATTGATCGCTCACAATCTGATTAAATGTTTGTTTTCTTCACAAAAACTCAATTTATTTCGAAATGTGTAAAACCAAAGTACTAATATTAATATGTTGCATATCTCATATTATAGTAATTAGATTTAGGCGTTGAGTGTGTTTGATTGTCAGGGTTCAATAAATGCTCTTAAAATAGACTTTCCTTTGCCAAACAAAGTGAACTCAAATCAAGTGTTAATAATGTGTGTGTGGTTAGCTGTGTGCTGAAATGTATTGATGTAGTTCTGTCCAATCAGAAGCAGATGTGAGTGATGTCATGATGTGTGTTTCAGCTTGAACATCGCTCTGTGGCCGGTCTGGTCCTTCTTCACTCCTGTGCTTCTGTTCACTCAGTTCATGGGTGTGTTGATGCTGATCTCGCTGCTCGGCTGAACACTTCCTCACACAGCTGTTCCGACCCGTGCCACAGCCAGAGAGGTCAGCTGATCTGTGACCTCCCACTGACCTCTGACCTCTGCTTCAGTCCAGGGCTGAGGAGCCGCTCCAGTGAGAGACGACATTCAACATGCATCCGTATTCCTCCGTTTTTGTGTTTGGTGTCCTGAAAGAGGTCGTTGAAGGATCTTGTAAGTTGAACTGGATGTGTTCTTTGAGGTCCTGATGATTCCTGATTTGAGTGTCTGCTTTATATTACTTTTAAAACACTTTTTTTGAAGGGTTAACTCAAGATACTCATGTTTTATATCATGTTTTAATGTTTGCCCGTAATTAAACATATGAAATAAAAGAGATTTTATATTACTTGGAATTTTCCGTCTGTCTGCATTCAGATGCTCTTAATAGGGTCAAATTCACATTTGTAGAACAAAACCTTTATGTAATGTGAACCACAGAGCTTATTTTACTCACACACACACACAGTGATTGAAAACGCACGCAAACCCTCTATAGCGAGTCAGTCTGACGTGTTTGTGGAGCGTTGATCCTTTGGAGCCTCTCAAGGGGAAGAATTTGAGATGAGAGAAACAATTATTTGTCAATGTTTTTGTGTTTTCCCAAGAAACTCTCTCATCTACTTAAAATTTTGCCAGTGAACACAAAAGCATTGAAGTATTTTTCCTCCCATTTCTACGTCTTTTTTGTGACTTCCTAGAACTTTTGTAACTCAGATGACGTGTAAAGCGATAGAGGCATTGCTGACGCTCATTATTTTCTCAGCTTTTTGTTCAAATGTTGCCCTTTTTTATTAAACTTACCCACATTCAAGCGTGATTAAAAAAGAATACTTGAAGCTAGAATTTTTTTTTTATTTAAAGGAGAGGCTCTGTTCTTTCTTTTGATACATTTTATGTTCAGAAATTAAAGTTTTTTTAAAAGTGGTCAATGTTGGCTGTGAACTTTAAAAAACAAATCGCTGACACTAGAATGATCCTCATTGGTTCTCGCTGAAGCTCAAACGTGATGCGTAACACTAGAATGATCCTCATTGGTTCTTTCAGGACCGCATGCTGTTATTCAGCCCCCTCTAAAAAAAACGTCTTAGACCCCTTCCTTTGATATGAGTAGTTTTCAAACAATCTCAATTGCCTTTTATTTCTAAGATACTTGAAAACATTGTGAATGCACAGATTAATGACTTTTTAGTGAGGAATAACATTTCCGATAGACTCCAGGCAGGCGTTAGAGCTGGTCACAGTACAGAATCGGCTCTTTTGAGGGTCTCTATTATTGGAAACCGTGTTTTGCTTTTGTTAGATCTTACAGCCGCATTCGATACAGTAGATCATAACATTCCCATTGATGGTTTTAGGTATCCGGTTGGCAGTGAAATGATTCTCTATATTTGAAGGATAGGACTTTGTCAGTCAGTGTGTGTGTGTGTGTGTGGGGGGGGGTGGGGGGGGGGGGGGTTCCACAGGGCTCTATACTGGGACCAGCTTTATTTTCCCTTTCTCTGCTCCCTCTAGGTTTGATTTTTGAGAAGTTTGGGATTCAGTGTCATCTGTCCGCGGGTGATTCTCTAATGTATTTACCACTGAAACATGGGCATGAATGTGCCATTCAGTCTCTTCTTGCATGTTTGGTCAAAGTTAAGTGTTGGCTTGCGAATAACTTTCTCCAATTAAATGAGGATAAGTCCGAGATGACTTGTGTCATTTTTGACTCTGAGCTTAAGTTTGACCGGCAAATCAATGCTGTCGTTAATTATAGATTTTTCCATCTTAGACCAATGTCTAAATTAAAATCTATCCTTTCTTTGACTTATTTGTGGGCCATTTATGAAACTAAATTTCTCAGATAATGTGTTTATCTGTTACTTTAACTTTAATTGTAGCAGCTAAAATTGAGTTCTCTTTATTATCATTTCATACGCATATAGACAAGCTACATGAATCGACAGCCTGAATGAATATGTAAATTAGATGCATGGGCATGTGTGAGTTTATGCAGACTTTCTCCCGTTATCTCTCATTATTTGTCCACATTAGAACTCGTTCCAAATTATAACAGAAGTTATACGCGCGCGCGTCCGGCTTTAGAGTTGAGTTTTCATCAGGTTCAGTTCTCCGCGCGCGTCTTGATCAAACTCCAGTCTGATGACATTATGAGAGAATAGTGATGATGATGATGATGAAAAGCGCGTGATCGCTTCTGTGTCAGACTGTGTCAAAGGTCGTCGGAAGCGTGCGCGTTTGATCTCGGTCTGCGGTGACGCGCGAGTGAACGCGATGATTTGCGGCTGATGCGGGTTTGTGCGCACGTTAATCCAGGTCAGAGCCGGGATGATAGAAGCTCTTTTGTTGCGTCTCTCTGGCCCGGATCGCTTTCATCTAATTGTGGGTCTCTCTGTAGTCGAGCACACCGTCAAATTCGGTTTGTTCTCGCAAACTTTTCCTCAAGTGCTTCGACAAGAGGAGATTGTGTCTGATTTCACCCGCGTTTCGCAATCCGTCTTTATTTGCGCACGAAGGTTCGCGCAGATTTAATGTTGAACACATTCTTCCGATGCAGGTCGTTATACGAGTCCGCGGTCAACAAAGGAGGGCGTCCATAAAGAGCCTTTGACCAGTGAAATCCGAGATCCTAAAAGCTTCGCTTGAGCCACAGAGGCCGAGGAAAAGCTCACTGGAGCTTCACATCTCACGGAGAAATGACTCGCCTGCCAGAGCGCGCGGAGATGCGTTGAGCAGCGCGCGCGTCAGGAGGAGCGCACGGTGAAGTTTGCGCGTTCTTGGCATCGCTTGGCTCACAGATGAATGAAACTCAATCCGCGTTAATCTGCTGCTCTTTCTGGGAGGTATATAGCGCGATTACCCGCGCGATGGACGCGCACTGAGCATGTCTGCCGTTCCGCGAGCTTCCGAAAGCGTTCCCACAGCGTTGAACCGGCACCATGGTGGAGCACAGCCTGGACATCATGTGTCTGAACAAATACGGCCCCAGTTCCTCCTCCTCGTCATCCTCAGACGCAGAAAAGAAACTTTTCTCCAAGCTCAAGGTGAGTTTGACCAAGAAGTACCCGCAGAAGAACGCGGAGACCCTGAGCGCGCAGTACGGCACGAACCTGCTGCTGATCGGCGTGTCCGTGATGCTCGCGCTCGCGCAGCACGGGCCCGCGGTGAGAGAGGAGCACCTGCTGACCTTCATCACGGTGCTCATGCTCGTGCAGCTCGTGTGGATGATCTGCTATATGATCCGGAGGGAGCGCGAGCGCAGCCCGGTGCCGGAGAGAGACGCGCACGCGGGCACGAGCTGGATCCGAGGTGAACCAACCGGCTCGTTTACTGAACGCTTTCTCTGTGAGAATGATTGATTAATGTGCTGTTTGCTTGTCAGGGGGGCTGACGATGCTGGCGTTACTGTCGCTCATCATGGACGCGTTCCGCATCGGATATTTCGTCGGGTATCATTCCTGCATCTCCGCCGTGCTCGGGGTCTATCCCATCGTGCACGCGCTGCACACCATATCCCAGGTGAGAACGCGCATGTGTCACGCGCTCATGTTTGATTAGTTGAGATGTTGAAAAATATTTCCCCGTGTTTTGTAAATTAAACGACTTAAACTTCACACTCGTCATCCGCATACATTGCGTGAGAAAAAGCATACAAATTAAACTCTGGTCACACATATCAACGGAAATAAAAGAAACTGTATAAAATTCAGTTGCACTAAATGACGTGTGCACAATGTGACCGTTACAGTTTGTTCCGAAGCAGTGAGTAATGTTGCAAATGTATTCAGTTCTGAAGTGATTCGGGTTTAGATGGAAGCAGAAGGCGTACAATGTTGGGGAAAGTTACTTTGTAGAGCAGTGCGTTACAATGTTGCGTTGCTCCCTTAAAAAGTAACTAATTGCATTACTTAATTACTTATTCCAGAAAAGTAATGCATTACGTCACTTTTGCGTAACTTTTTCCCCAACTAGACTGGGGTATGTTTATAAGAAATTTCACCCGCATTTCGCAAATTTTTTCGGCAAAAGTAAAAACCAATTCACACCAAAGTGAAATAAAAATCCTCAGGCTGAAGGAAATGCAGATTCACTCCTGTACAGTACAGTAGAGTAGAGTAATGTGCATTAGAGTGCAGTAGAGTGCATTAGAGTACAGTAGAGTACAGTAGAGGTAAAGTACAGTAGCATACAGTAATGTACAGTAGAGTACAGTAAAGCACAATAGAGTACAGTAGACTGCAGTAGAGTACAGTAGAGTGCAGTAGAGTACAGTAGAGTACAGTAGAGGTAAAGTACAGTAGCATACAGTAATGTACAGTAGAGTACAGTAAAGCACAATAGAGAGTGCAGTAGACTGCACTAGAGTACAGTAGAGTGCAGTAGAGTACAGTTGAGGTAAAGTACAGTAGCATACAGTAATGTACAGTAGAGTACAGTAAAGCACAATAGAGTACAGTAGACTGCAGTAGAGTACAGTAGAGTGCAGTAGAGTACAGTAGAGTACAGTAGAGGTAAAGTACAGTAGCATACAGTAATGTACAGTAGAGTACAGTAAAGCACAATAGAGAGTGCAGTAGACTGCACTAGAGTACAGTAGAATGCAGTAGAGTACAGTAGAGTACAGTAGAGTGCAGTAGAGTACAGTAGAGGTAAAGTACAGTAGCATACAGTAATGTACAGTAGAGTACAGTAAAGCACAATAGAGAGTGCAGTAGAGTACAGTAGAGTGCAGTAGAGTACAGTAGAGTGCAGTAGAGTGCAGTAGACTGCAGTAGAGTGCAGTAGAGTACAGTAGAGTGCAGTAGAGTACAGTAGAGTGCAGTAGAGTACAGTAGAGTGCAGTAGAGTGCAGTAGAGTGCAGTAGAGTACAGTAGAGTGCAGTAGACTGCAGTAGAGTGCAGTAGAGTGCAGTAGAGTACAGTAGAGTACAGTAGAGTGCAGTAGAGTACAGTAGAGTGCAGTAGAGTACAGTAGAGTGCAGTAGAGTGCAGTAGAGTGCAGTAGAGTACAGTAGAGTGCAGTAGAGTACAGTAGAGTGCAGTAGAGTGCAGTAGAGTGCAGTAGAGTACAGTAGAGTGCAGTAGAGTACAGTAGAGTGCAGTAGAGTGCAGTAGACTGCAGTAGAGTACAGTAGAGTGCAGTAGACTGCAGTAGAGTGCAGTAGAGTACAGTAGAGTACAGTAGAGTGCAGTAGAGTGCAGTAGAGTACAGTAGAGTGCAGTAGAGTAC